CTGGTCATTGTATCCATAGAGATGGTGGCATGCTCATATGAGAAAATGTTGAGCGATTTGGTAGACGTCTGCTGGATTTGTGGCTTCTCTGGTCATTGTATCCATAGAGATGGTGGCATGCTCATATGAGAAAATGTTGAGCGATTTGGTAGACGTCTGCTGGATTTGTGGCTTCTCTGGTCATTGTATCCATAGAGATGGTGGCATGCTCATATGAGAAAATGTTGAGCGATTTGGTAGACGTCTGGCTTCTCTGGATTTCCATAGAGATGTGGCTTCTCTGGAAAATTTTCGATTTGGTTGTATCCATAGAGATGGTGGCATGCTCATATGAGAAAATGTTGAGCGATTTGGTAGACGACTGCTGGATTTGTGGCTTCTCTGGTCATTGTATCCACAGAGATGGTGGCATGCTCATATGAGAAAATGTTGAGCGATTTGGTAGACGACTGCTGGATTTGTGGCTTCTCTGGTCATTGAATTCATAGAGATGGTGTGTGGTCATATGTGACTGTGACATCCGATTTGGTAGACTATTACTGAATTTTGTCGTTTCCTTGGTCGCCTAGTGAAAAACAAATGTGCGTGGTTTCTAAATACTTATAAGAGTCAACATCGGAATTAAATATATATGCATAGGTATAAATTTAAATAATTAATGGATTTTCTTTTAAACAGACATTTTTTTAATTTCAAATGTTATCATAGTGGACACTTCTTATTTGAAATAGACGTCTCATTTTTATTTATTAAACACTGTGTGTATTATGTCTATCGGGCTGACTCATTGAGGAATATTAGAAAATCGATAGATCTGAACAAATTGAGAAGTATAGATAAATATAAATCTATGTAGAGATAGAGATATGAATGTAGTTGGTTGGTTGGTTGTTTTGTTTTATGGCATATCAAAACCTCAGTGGGTCATTTAATGCCAACAAGATTTTCAAATAAATTCATCGTGGTAGTTTGATAAAAAGAAAAAGGTGTGTATGTATACATATATATTTGAACCATTTTTCAATCACTCATATTTTTGAGTACAATCCAATTTCTTTTAGGAAATTTAGTTTGTATTGCTGTGTTTTTTTTTGTTTTTGTTTTTTAGGTATTGCTGATAATAATTTTCCTTCAAAAATTTTTGCTGGTAATATTTTTTTTTTTATTACAAAATATTTCTGGTATTAAAACCTATTTTTACACAAGTTTGGGTGCTAACTATTTGACCATAGCTGGGACCCTAACAGGTGCTACCATCTTGGGTCAGGGTGGACCTGGGAAGACCAGCAATATAGAGTTGGGTCCACGCTCCTCAAAACCTCCTGATCAGCGACCTTGCTGCTAGACCTAGTTTATCGTCTTACCCTGGACGCGGATGTAGTTTATCGTCTTACCCTAGACGCGGATGTAGTTTATCGTCATACCCAGGATGCGGATGTAGTTTATCGTCATACTCAGGACGGATGAATGTAGTGTGAGTTACTATGATAGTTCTATAAATAGTTAATGTATAGAGATAGGGTGGGAGAGAAATTGAAAAGATGTCGCGCTGATGTATGCAAACTACATAATTCATATTTCGCGTTAATACATTAAAGAAAAAAAATGCCCGATAATGATCAGGGATCCCTAGATCTCAAGCCCAATTTTAAAAAAAAATGGAAACTACAGGTTATGATAGGTAAATTCTTGATGAAGATGAACTGAAGGAAAGGATTATGGCAGCAGTGACCAACTTAAACACGGAGACCGTCCAGAACAACTGCAGAGGATTCTGAAGTCGTCTGGAGGCTGTGGCTAATAGACAATGGCGAGTTTATGGAATAAATTTACTCTTTAGTATTTCAAGATATTTTTTATGTAGTTTTGGTAAATACATCTGTTAAATAAGATGTCAGTGATATTTTCATTTTTGTATAATTTAGACGACAATTTATTTATCGCACTTTCTTTTTTCTCTCTCTCTCTCTCTCTCTCTCTCTCTCTCTATATATATATATATATATATATATATATATATATATTCCGATCCAGTTTCGACAGTTCCAAAATGTAGGCAAGTGGACATTAAGTCGTAAAAGTGGCGGCATGTTTGCCTTACACAATATGGGTCCCTTGCGCTTCGAGAGGAATCACAAGATCGCTCGGTAAATTTATAAGTAGGATGAGCGCCTAATGTAATTTAAGTCAACAAGTAAATCCTACTGATGTATCATGGGCGTGCAGGTATTGTCACTAACGATTTCGAATTCCAGTCGAGATCGTTACACTGGTTTTCGCACAAATAAATTTGGCAGAAGTATGAATATATCTCTTCTCTTTCAATCTATGCGGTAAATAACAGGGCGATCTGGGATCTCTAGCCATGGTTGGCAACCAGTTTAGTACAAAGAAAACGCTGAATTCAAAACGCAGCCACCTGAATCTGTGCAAACATCGTTTGACATGGAATGCAGATACTATGGCTGAAAGAGAAAAAAACAAAACAAGATATATTTCCGCAAGTAGAGATGATTCCTTGAAAAGAAGTTATCCAGAATATTCTAGTCACCATCGGGTTTTGGGACCATAGAAGGTGGATGGATTACAACTGCAGAGCTTGATCTTCATGGGATATTGTGACCTTGTATAGAGTGAGGTACAATAAGCCGAGTAAGTGATCATTTTTATATTTTAAATTTCCTGTAAGAGAATATAACGAATTCAAGCGGAATTGGAACCCGGCTCTCCGCTTAACAATTCCGAGCCATTATCCATTACACCACCCGCACATACAAGTTTACAACACCTGGTATTTTAAAGTTGTCACTCATTTAGATACTGATCAGGCTAAATACTGATGAACTTTGTTGATCGTATGGGAACAGGTGTTTCAACGTAAATTGGCCGTAAGCCTAATAATAATAATAATAATAATAAAATAACAAGCATTTACTACCATCAGTAACCGGGAATGAGGAAGTGATACAGGTGCCATCCGTACTTAAAATATCAAGAAGTAATCCATACACATTCTGTGCATTGAAAGTTTTGCTTCACCCTGGTGATGTTGACCCTGTAAAGTGGGTTACGGAGTAAGAGGAACAGTTGATACGGATATGTGAGGAAGCTAACAATTATCTCTCGGCATGAACAGTTATCTCTCGGCATCCTCTTGGATGTTGATTCCACAAAGCATCGGGAAGAATCTGCGAGAGCGGAATTACATTTGACCAAAGGAATACGAAAGGAATGAAGGTCGTTCACTGCAATGTAAGTAGCATGTCGGATTTTAGCTGGTTGAACTAAGGCATATAGCTCGTCTGAACACTTTCCAACAAAAAAAATTTCTAAGGAGATTTTTTATTCAAAACCATTCTTTCTTTCTTTCTTTCTTTCTTTCTTTCTTTCTTTCTTTCTTTCTGTTATGGTCCAGGTTAGGACCAATGAAGAACAACACGAACACAAGAATAGAAATAACGAAGGTATATTACACGAAATAATAATACAAGATGTGGAAGGTGTTAGTATGACTGTCAGTCTGGTTTGGAGTGAACTACTATCGGCTCGACTCGATTCGTCCCTCTCTCTTGAGAGGCGTAGTATACATAGTGTTAGGAAGAGTTCATTCTGTAGTTATAGGTAAGGACCCATGACACTTTCTTTCTTTCTTTCTTACAAACATTGGAGTGAATCTGAACCTGTGGAATCAAATTGTGATATGGCCGTAAGCATGTTACTTAGGGAAGCACCTACGCAGACGTTTATTTCACAAAATAACTGTTCTTGGGTCAAAAAGCAGTTTCAACTTCTTTCTTACCAAATAGAATAACTAGGTGTCACTAATGTAAGCTGGTATAACTAAAGAATGGAGCTTGTATGGACATTTGCCACGGAAGTAACGATCCAGTAGCGATAAACTCGTGGCTTTACGTCTGTAGGGAAAAGGCTGTAGGGTAGAAAAGAAGTTGTGCATTAAAAGTTTTCGTAAACGCCTTTGAACACTGTCAAGGGTGTAAATAAAGGGGTGGACAGTCCAGGACAGATATAACTACAATACTCCATGTTTTTAGTCTGATCTGACACCTGAAAACATACGGCATGCCAGAAGGAGTCAGGTACTTTCCACAGTGGTACGAGGGATCTAATAATTTTTCAGCATCTTTAGCGATGGATCATATATACCAGTTCTTCTTGAGATCTGGAATAGATAGGTAGATAATGCATAGACTAATATATATATATATATATATATATATATATATATATATATAAAGAGATAGAGATAGAGAGAGAGAGAGAGAGAGAGAGAGTGATGATAAAAGAAAGAAATTCGCATACGAATGTGTTATGGTCCGGTTCCTGGTACCACGGTGATGGTCCAAGGTAGAACCAATAAAGAAGAACTCGAAAGCGGATATGGAATAACACAGATATATTACAAACAGGAATATATACAGAGAAGTAGAAAGTGTTAGTACGAACAATCAGGTTTAGCAGTAATTGTCTGAACGCGACTCTGTTTCGGACTGCCTCTGACTCGACTGACTGACACGCTCTGACTGACTGGCAGACTCCTGACAGACCTCACTCCAGACATCAGGCTGAACAGTATTTAGTCATCCCCCCAAACGAGTGCATCGGTTTGGCACAAGGCTTCGGTTTAACGTTGGGATATCCCGCCCGAGAGAGAGTTTAACGGATCAGCCGGTCAACCGGCCGGCCGCCCGACTTCGGACTGAACTTTCCGCTCCTCTTGAGGCGCAGTATTTATTACGTATGGAATAGTCCATTATGTTATTATGGGTAAGGTCCCACAACAGAAAGCAACGTAACGTAAATATAGTGGGGCTGATCGATTTATAGACCAAGAAATATAAAACATTGAAGGAGATAGATAGATAGTGAGATAATGAGTTGACTAAGAAAATACATAGACTAAAATAGATAGATAAATGGGTAGATAGAAAAAGATTAGACGAAAATAGAAAATGCGTACACATAGATAGAGAATGAAATGACTAAGATAAATAGATAGAGAGATAGATAAATAGATAGATAGAGAGAGAGAGAGAGAGAGATAGATAGATAGAGAGAGAGAGAGAGAGAGAGAAATGGGTCATATTTAGATAGATAATGAATGGACTATTATAGAAAATACATAGACTAAAATAGATAAATAGGTAGATAGAAAAGGAATACTTAAATAAAAAACGCTTAGACAAAGATAGATAGATAGAGAATAAATAGACTAAGATAGAGAGAGAGAGAGAGAGAGAGAGAGAAAGAAAGAAGTGGGTTCATATTTAGACAGATAGATAGATAGATAGATAGATAGATAGATAGATAGATAGATAGATAATGAATAGACTAAGAAAATACATAGACTAAAATAGATAAACAGGTAGATAGAAAAGGAATAGACTAAAATAGAAAATGCGTAGACATAGATAGATAGATAGATAGATAGATAGATAGATAGATAGATAGATAATAAACAAACTAAGATAAAGTGAGAGATGGGTTCATATTTAGAAAGATAGATAAATAGATAGATAGATAATGAATGGATTTAGAAAGAAAGAAAGAAAGAAAGAAAAAATTAGAACAAAAAACGTTTGTGTAATGTAAGGCGATGTATAATCTAATAAAGAGTTTTTGCTTCCAGAAAGATTACAGTCAGAAAGAGAAACAAAATATCGGAAGTATTCCAAGGTGAAGATAAGTAAACGACGCTAACTTAATTACACTAGTTTACTTTGATCTCCCTGAAGCTATTAATGGATTAAGGGAGATTAACATCACACAAAACACAACTCCTTGCCCATTTGCAATATATGTGTGCGTATGTACATTTTCGCCTATCTATGTATATGTCTTCAAAAGAAAAAAAATTAAAAAAAATGAATCAAACTTGTTACGTTCCATGGAGTCTCTCACGCAACGATTCAACATGTACTACTTGGAATGTCATTCAAAATATCACACAACAAGCTTGGATTTTAAAAGTATGTGAACGTACTGGTTTGAGAGAAGCTTAACCGACTCCAATTAAAATCTGCGTCCAAAATGCTGGCACCCAAAAGGACGCAAGCAAATATTTGCTGTCAACTGAGGCCGAGCTTGTACAAATTCTGTAAAGAAAATGCGATTTTGTATTATTTTGACATCCCTGATTCTGGGATACACTCTGGGATACCTCTTTCCCTGGCAACTGTTAATTCTGGATTTCTTTTCTTTTCAAGTAGACGCGGGAGTTTAAATATATGGGAAGCGTCTTGATAGAGGACGTTAAGTGCGACACTGAGATCCGCGGACGTATTGGGATGGCCAAGGACTCATTTCAAAAGCTGGGCAGAGTAATGCGAGACAGAAGGATTTCTTTGTTAACGAAGAGACTGAGCTGTTACGTGACATCTGCCCTTCTTTACTGCAACGAATGTTTGACAATTTCCTCAAATATGAAGAAGAGATTCGAGGCAACGGAGATGTGGTTCTACAGAAGCATGCTAAGGTTACCAGCGTGTGAGCAACGATGAGGTCTTAGAGAGGGTGAAAACAAGGAGGAGGCTTATACTTAACATCAGGAAGAGGCAGCTGAAGTTTCTGGGACACGTAATGAGAAAGGAGGCCTGGAAAATCTGATACTCACGGGTCGAATAGAGAGACAAAAGAAAAACAACGCATTATATCCCTATCGGGCTTAAGCAATTAGATGACGGAACGTGGTCTGGGGGAGGTGGCAGAGGGAAGGAACTTGTTGAGAGCTGCAAGGGATAGCGAGAGTTGAAGAGCCATGATCGCCTTCGTTCTGAAAGGACATGGCACATAGAAAGAAAGGAAGAAGCTTAAAAGCCATATTATCGGGCGGCATTTAACCTATCTCCTGTGTGGGAGCTCTTGATTGGGCCTTCAGGTTGTTCAGCAGTTTGAGAGTCCCTAAATTTTACATATTCTCAATAATGGCAGCTCTCTTGGCTGCCATTTGATCTGTGTTCTCATTTGCACGGTACTTTCTTTTCTTCGCTGCAGCGTTGGCTCTTTCGATTACAATCTGGTCCTCTGTTGACGGAGATTTTTTTTGCCAGGTATGTCGTATGTTGATATATCCCGGAAAGGGATATATTTGATCGAAGTAGTGCAGGGTTGCACTAATCGACTGGTACTCGTCGTAGTGGCAGGTAATATGCTTAGGTAAGTGGTGTAGACCAATAGGATAGCCAATGGCCTAGTCCAATGGGCGTCGTCATAGGCTTAAACTCTGTCGTACTTAAACGTCCGTCTGTATTTATGACGGACACCAACCAATCATATTCCAATGAGGGGGAACTCAGGTGTATGCATATTCCATTATTTCATATGTAATAGGCATCAATAAACTACAGAAAGACTCAAAATTGATCGCTGCATTTAAGTATTGTGTTATTATTTAAGCTTACCTTTTAAAATTTGAACGATAATTTTTCTGCCGTCAGTTAATTTAAAGACAATTTGATGTACGTAGGTCCTTACTTTTCGTACAAACAATTATTTTTGTTTCATGGGTGACGTTCGCTGGATTTTGCAATTAATTTCAATTATTCACAAATTTCTAAAGGAAGCAATGAAAACTTGGGTCTCCAAAATTTCTGTAACAAGAGCTACTCAATTTTAGAGAGTTGTGCCCCTTTAATTGAAAAAGCATGGCACACCAGCATTGGCATTTATTATATAGTTTAGTCCTTTCTACTTGCGTTCAATTACAGCTTTGCCTAAGAGTGTTTTTTTTGTTTGTTTTATTCTGGAGCTGCTATAAAAACATTATCATCTGCCTATCTAATATTGTTAAGATTTCATCCGTTGATTATAAATTCGGATAGATTTTCTAACCGGATTTATTATTTATCATTTTCTCTCATTAGAGTCTCGCTCGATACGAATGGAAACTTTTAGGTTAAAAATATTTCTATCTGTTTCATAATATTTTACGAAAGACAGAAATTATAAAGTACGGTGTGAATTCCACGGCCATAATTTTGTTTGAATTTCCCGAGTAACATGTTTGTGTTTTTACCGCCAACCTTTGGTAATTTTCCTTTTGGTATTTAAAAAAAAAGAGAAAATAATGTTTTTTTTTTTTTTTTTTTTTTTACCGCTATTCTTTCGCTTGTCATTTTAAAAATATAGAAAATAATGTTTTTTAACGCTAACTTTTGGTAATGTTTCTTTCGGCATTTAAAAAAAGGAAAAATAATGTTTTTTACCTGCTATACTTTGGTAATGTTTCTTTTGGAATTTAAAAAAAGAAACAAATAATAATGGTTTTTACCTGCTAACCTTTGGTAATATTTCCTTTGGCATTTAAAAAAGAGAAAATAATGTTTTTTAACGCTAACCTTTGGAAATGTTACTTTTGATATTTTAAAAAAAAAGAGAAAATAATGTTATTTAACGCTAACTTTTGGAAATGTTTCTTTTGGTATTTTTAAAAAGAGAAAACGATGTTTTTTAACGCTAACCTTTGGAAATGTTTGTTTTGGTATAAAAAAAGAGAAAATAATGTTTTTAATGCTAACCTTTGGAAATGTTTCTTTTGGCAAAAGAAAATAATGTTTTCTCGAATTCCGCTTGGTTAGTTTTGCTAATTCTTTCGCAGCGAAATTTCTTGTTCACCCTTTGTGCTAATTTCAAGCAAATCCATTACATTATTATGGCATGAAATCTCTGTGAATCCTTTCTCGAACAACTCGAAGCACGTATCACGCTCTTTCGGAATTTCGACTCAAAGGAATACCTACTTCTTAAACATTAAACTCTTTTAATTGCTCTCTCGACATTTTACATTTTTCAGTGCTAATTATTTTTTTTTACTCTTTTTTGTTTTACACATTTTCCATTTTCTAAATGCAAGAATTTATATAATAGAGCCAACCAAATGATAGTGTTGCTACTAACATGGTTATGATGAAAGAAATAAGTGAAATAAATGAAACAGTGGTAAGAAGTAAAGGTTATGAGGAGAAGCAGAATAGATTATGACTGATCCTTGACGTAAAGAGGTTAAGATTGTAGTGGACATTTAAGGACCTACGCAGAAGTCTGTTTCGCATACGTAGCAGATCTTGGTAAAAATTTGTTTCAGTTGAACTTTCATCTTACATTTGGAAGATGGAGAAAATAAGTCTGATTCCGTAGCATGACATTCCGTGGCTGTAAATGTTTCAAGTGAGAAAATTAAATAATGGAGCGCTCATCTGAACATTAGCCATGGAAATAGCGATAAAGTAGCGATAGGCTTATAACGTTGCGTGTACCGAAAAGAGTATGTTAGACATGAATTGGGCTGTGGTCTATAGATAACGGTTGACATTAGACTTGAAGAGATTAAGAACTAAAGAGGGGAATTCATTTGAACATTTGCCATGGAAATAGCGATAAAGTTGCGATAGGCTTGTAACGATGCGTGTACGGAAAAGAATATTTAGAATAGTAAGTGATGTGAGACATGAATTGGGATGTGGTCTAGAGATGTGTGTGTGTGGGGGTAATAGATAGCGACTCGGTTTGAGAAATCAGTTAGCCGAGTTCGAATTCCGGTTGAGTTAGTTATATACACGTACGTCCAAATAACATTAGAAAAGGTAAAAATCTATGTATTCTCTCCCTCCAGTTAAGGGTAAATAGCGGGAGGATTCAGGATATATAGCCTTGGGTAGCAACCGGAGGAGGAGATAACTGAATTTAAAAGCTGATGATGAACATTTGGGGACACCATATGTGCGTGTAATCTGGTTGTTCAGTACCCTCATATGGCGAAAACAACGGGTACGTCTGTGCGTGCATATATATATATATATATATATATATATATATATATATATATATATATATATATATATAAAAAACATAGTTTTATGGTGTGCTACATTTATGGGATAAAGTGCTCAATATCAGAGATAGAGCGTATGTATATATATATATATATATATATATATATATATATATATATATATGTGTGTGTGTGTGTGTGTGTATGTGCGCGCGTGCCTGTGTGCGCTCGTGTGTGTGTGCACGTGCCTGTGTGCGCGCGTGTGTGCATGTGTGTGCCCGCGCATGATAACACACGCACACATATTTCTGACAATAGCATAAGCCATGACACTTATATCAGGTGCTTTTGTTGAGTTGTGAAAATCGGTTTAGAAGACGTTCAGTCACGTTTAACAAAGTCTGATAAAAATAGGTGTGTGTGTATATATATATATATATATATATAATGAGAAACATTGAACATTAACATTGAAAAGAAAACACTGACGACAGACTCTAAGGGTATTTTTCTATGAGGTACGTTTCAATCTGTTCAAATTTTTCTAAAGTTTTCTTCATTCATTTTAAAAACTTTCGTTTGTGCATATGATCGCCATTCTGTATTTTAACTAAGATTTTGTACACGGTATTTGCCAACGCATAAAATTAGCTCAGTTTTAAATATAATTCTGGATTATGACGTATATATATAT